GCAACGTCGCCAAAGAGTGATGTATCTCTAGCCCACAGTTCTTAGACTTTCATATATTCCAATCATTGTGTGCCACACCTATCTTCTGATCGAAGAACTTTTGCGTGCAACAAAGGAGGTTCATGCATTGAACGGTTAGTACCAAGACCTCCAAATTAAGATAGTTATTGGGTTCAGTATTAGACTACATAGAATCTAAACAGGAAGTGACGGTCATTTTTTTTGCTCAAGTGTGCGGCATACAATAGCGTCTTAGAGGCGTCTTCAATCACAATTTCGTTCCGTGGGAGGTCCGAAGAAACCCTTCAAGTGCATACATTTCATATATCATCGGAAAAGCCTTTTTTGGTCAAATCCTAGAAGATATAAACGGATATTGGGTGTACGAGAATAGTTAATACTGGCACTTACAAAAAGGGGCCTTCCGTGCTTAAAAGTAAAATGCTCAATTGTAAAAATGAACTACCCTGATCTGCATTGTCTACACATTTGGTAAGAAATAGAATGAAAGAGCGGATATTGTATATTTGATCTAATTCCTTGTATAAAAGCCTGAGAAGTAGTCCCAAATCAAAACAATTAGAGATACTTGCGAGCTTAGCTGAATATGCAGTATCAAACAGTTGCTGTTGATCGATATCTTTTCTGTTGAAGATGACTTGGTAAACGTTAGGCGCATCCATAGTTGTCGCACCTTGTATGCCGCACGCAATTGAGCAAACAAAATCGAGTGTCCACATATGCTCGAAGCGAAATACAGTGTTATGATTTACCTACCAAATTTGAACAAAAGTGAGTGGGAGCAATAGAGGTGATGCTGAGTCCATGAGGCTTCCGGCTCCTCTCGCTGGGCAGGAAGTGCCTATGTATTCTCAATTAAACAAGCCATTGTACAGCTACGTGGACCTCTCATTTTAATGCTAGCATGTCTTTAAACGAACCCGGCAAATTATCATTAATTACGGGTTTTGGTGCTGTGTCCGCTTAATGGAAGGTCTTGGTGTTAACCGTTCAATGCGCGAATCGTCTGTATTGACCCAAAAACCCTATAAGGAAATATGTCGGATTCAGTATAAGACTAAGCGTACTATCTAATCAGGAAGTGGTATAAGTACGTGGTCACAAGATGCCTATATAGCTGTTAGTTCGGGTTCAAAAATTTACTACACCATTACCTGTATAGTATACCTGAATTGAAAGCAGTAATCATTTTGTCTTTTGTTACACGGGTGTGTGTCTCACTTTTAATTTCATTGATGACTCAGCATGTATCGTAAAAAAGACACATTTGTCTTTTCTCAGCACAAGTTTAGACCTTTTATCGCGTAGTGTCACGTATCAAAATCCTCTGGTCAAAGGACTTGTTGGTACTGGATTGAGGATGCCCAGAAGAAGTGACGGGTATCAGTTGGATTCACACCAAACCTCGATATTAAAGCAAGAAAGCTTCACTTCACAACCGACCAGTAGACATGTCAGCGCGTAATAATTTCGTTTACGACCTGTTAAATATAATTAGGTAAAGTATCCAAGCCTACAGCTTGAACTTCGGGGCACCAGCCTCCGATGAGTGAGCTTCGTGGTCTTCATCGTCATCTGACGAGTACATGTTTGTCGCGTCTGATTTATCCTGTTTAGCAGCTTCTCCATGTGCTGCGACCGTCTGACTTAGCGAAACCCCAGAAGGTGACGCTGGTAATTTTGTAGCTGTTGCATGATGCATTTTTTTGATGCTCATAAGTATAAAACACCGGGAAAGCAAGAAAGCAGCATATATATACAGAACATGCAAATGTTCGCACTTATGTGCATATAGTGATAGCGATCGGATTAATACTTGCAATATAATACCGTATTGAAGTGATATTGATCTTATATAGTTGACGACGGAAAATCAAGACTATATAAATAACACTTTTCAGATGAAGGGAAGCCTTCGGGGCACATATTGAACCCCCCCCCCACACAAAAACTCACCGACTAGGCCCATCTCCGTATTCTTGACAACGGCATCGAATTCGCTGAAAAGAGACTGGTCGATATCGCTAGTTGCAGGATACACACTGGGTCGCCCGAGGTCAGGCTGCAGGTTGACCATTCCTTTCTTGTACTTTCCAGGTTTTGGTGCTTTCACCGCTTTCCGTTCTAATGCATTCCAGTCGATATCTGCGGTTGGATGATCGCGAGAAGCTTCAGAACCGCAACAAAAACCTACGTCTCAATATTTGCAAGTCTATTTAGGAGCGCATGACTAGAGAATAGACAAGTCGACGAACGCGTACCTTTAAACCAAGGATGCTCCATCACGTCGATCATGCCTCGCTTCGAGCCAAGGCGATGTCTGAGTACAAAATAACAAGCAATTGCGTTTCAATCATGCGTTGAACGTAGCTGGTTTCGACAAAGGCACACAAAAGGTTAGATGTCTATGCGAATATAACATACTTTCGATCTACGGCAAGCAGATTTGACACTAGATCTTTACCAGTAGAGGTCATCCATTTCGGGAACGAGAACTGCCCGTTGAGAATATCCCTGATTTATGTAAAGCACGACCACAAGAGGTTGGTAATCAATAAAGGCCCATGAAATTGCGAAGTTTACTATTGTATATTTTCGAAAGCTAAGAAGTGGAGGCAATCTTGAAGTGGGGCAATCTTCCAGTATCATTTCAGGAGTTTTAACCGAATCAAATATCAAACATATACAGCAAACTATTCAAACATCGAAAATATGCATGGCCAAGCACTGAGCGAAAACGTACTGAAACTTTAAAACACTGACACACGTTAATTTCACATACTTATATCGCACCCCGCCGTTAGCATCACTTGTGACAAATGGAGCATAACCACATTGTAATTCGTAAATGAACACGCCAAGCGACCAGAAGTCAGCCTCCTTGTTGTAGCCTTCACCCCTGATCACTTCTGGAGCTAGGTAGTCGGGAGTGCCGCAAAACGTATACGTCTTTTCTGATTCACCCAGGTGCTTTGCAAATCCGAAGTCAATCAACTTTAGGTGGCCTTCAGTGTCTAGTAACATATTCTCTGGCTGCGAATTTGTGTTTTAAAGTAGAATGATGAATTACATTGAATGCGAACAAGGTAACAGATTGTATTGTACAAATCCGTTGAAACATTGAATATTGAAGAAGGCTCAATGAGCACGCCTGTATACAAAATCTTAGATAATGAAACTAAAATACAGGTTATTTACACAGAGATGAACATATATTCTTATACATTGAATATATTTACAAAATAAAAAAAGTGGAAAGCACATGGAACCCCATGTCTACGCGTGGAATACATATATAGATAACAACATCCAGTTTCACCTTTCGACTCAGCTATCATATTGTTTTAATTCGAGAAATCGGGATGAGCAAAACAACATTACATGTTTGTAGTAGACCGGAACATTCACATACAATATCGCAACAAACACGTCATTGTTCCAAAGCACATATACTTGGTCCGCGCACCTAACAATACTACTGGAATTCACGTGGTAATCTGTGAGTAAAGGCGTATAAATACGTACCTGCGCGTGGTTTGCATAGGTAACGCATATAGACAACAACATCTAGTTCTAGCTTCCGACTCAGCTATCATATATTCTTGATGATCCGAGGCATCAAGATGAGCAAAACATTACATGACGTAGTAGGCAAGGACTTTCACATGCGATATCGCAATAAACAGGTCACTGTATATAGCACATGCACAATGTCCGCGCACCTAAAAAGAATACTGATCTCCCATACCTTTATATCTCGATAAACTATATGCTCATGCTCGTGCATGTATTTGAGGGCCAACATCAACTCCGCCGCATAAAAGCGCGCCTTCTTTTCACTGAAACGACCGTTTTTGGAACCTCGTAGATGTGCAAAGAGCTCGCCGCCAGATATGAATTCCATAACAAAATACAGCTTGTGCTCATCCTGGAATGACCCCAATGTTTTCACTGTGAATGGACACTCGTGAGCTGACAATTCCATCATCGTTGTGTTTTCTTCCTTCACATGATCTAATTGTTGTTGTTGTAATACCCACGACTTGTTGATGATCTTCAGCACTACCTTCTCCTCTGTTTGTATATGTCTACATGCGATACAAGTATCACAAATACAGAAGATACAATTAGATACACACGTGTATCCAGAGGCGCGCACTACGTAAATTTTTCTGTCCCCGCCGTGCTAAAAAACAAACAAACAAAACGAGTGAGGGGACGTACATACCGACAAAGCTGCACCTTTCCAAATGCACCGGAACCAATTTGCTTTATAACTTTGAATTGTAGCAGCTTATAGTGGAAATCATCCTGTTCCCCAGCAAGTTCTGAAGTGGAAACAAAAATGAGCGAGTAAGCATATGGATGATCATATCGAAACGAATTGAAATAAATAGAAAATTATCGTGTTGTGACTACGTAAAGCGAATGATACTAATGTAACAAATCTTTTATTGCGCCTGAGAAGAGAATACGATACAACTATGATAGTGTTTAAAGGATTGCACTCTCCAGAGAGAAATGAAATACACAGTTTCACACACACACACAAACTTTAATATAATAATAACAATAATAATAATATATATATATGTTTATATGTAAGCATATATATATATATATATGTTTATATATACGCATATATATATATATATGTTTATATATTTATATATATACATGTATACATACAGACTGATACACACTATATGTATACACATACACATACAATACACTAAACGCTACATACATACATACAAACATAGTTACACGTACACTTTATATATTTACATATATATACATAGATCAAAATATGCATAAACATTTATATACAAAAACACACACACTTATATTTGTACATATACACACATACATACGTACATACACATACAAACACACACACACACACACATATATATATTTAATATAGATATACAGATTCAGATCGAGATACAGATTGAGACACATATGCAGATACGCAAACGCACATATATATACACACACACGTATACATACATACATACATATATATATACAGAAGATGTATTAAAAATATACATATATATATATATATATATAAGAAATAGTATATATTTATATATATATGGAACGTACACACACACACACG